ACAATTAAGAAACTAAAGGCAACAAAATCATGTTCCTCATAAATAGCTAAGTTAGATCCAGAAACTGTATCCTCTAACTCCCCAGAGAGAAGTCTGTTACTAAAAAAAAAAAAAAATGATAGAAAAGTAAACTGGGCTTATCTTTTATGTTAAGGCTGAAGAAAAAGATGAATTACTACACTTTTTCCACACTGTGACTGATTCTCTCTTCTGGCTTGTGGGAGGCCATGTTGAACTTATTCAGAATGGTAAGAGACAAGATGTTAATGTAACTAATAGCTATTGCAGAGTCAACTGCTAACAGTTTGATCTTTTTTTTCCAAAAATAAATGCCACATTAACTATATAGACAACCACACTGAAATCATGTTGAAATAAGCTTACAATTTTTTTAGAATGGATATTCCAGTTTTACACAGCCAACATCGACAATAGCTTTTTCTGTTTAGCAAATCTAAGATAAAGATAAATTATACTTTGAATAGTTTATTCCTGAAAATAACTTTTAAGGTTAAAAGATTGCATTGTTTTAGACCTATTGTGAGAGAAATCCCTACATTCAGGGTGGATATGATTTAACTCATATAGCCTAATTATCCAAGTAAGTGTAAGCTTTTATTTAATGAGCTTTTAGCGAACTTGGAAGTTACAGGATATTTTTGTTTACATTGAGAAACACAAACATGATAAGTTTTGTATTGTGTTTTCTTAAGACTGAGAAAATAATTCTTAGTGACATTGATGGCACTCTTTCTACTCTTTTGAAAAATTTCATCTAATATAGATGCAACACTATAAGAATTTTTTTAAGAAATACTTGAACTGAAATTTTACTTGTAGCTTTTCTCCCTAGATTCATTCATGCACATAATTTAGAGAGTCAAGTAGTCCCGTAAGGATCATTAAAACACACAGACAATCCCTGGCCCTCATGCCCACTCCATTTCCCATTTTCCAAAGGCAACTACTTTCAGTTAGTATAACTAATACCTTTGGTAGTTATGCTCAGTTATTGAGCATACAATGGAATGGAAACTGACATTTATTAGAAACATTCCCTGTTCTAGGACATTTTACATTAGCTCATGTGAGAGCTATTATTTCTAGTTTTACCAATGAAGAAATGAATAAACAGTTTGTAAAAGGTTAAGCAACTTGTATAACCATCCAATGCTAAATCATTATAACTGACTGCTTAGAGCTTAAAGATTACGAATCAATAAAAGGAAATTTTTGTAGTTAATGTATTCATTATTATATAAAACAATGTGTCACAAAATTAAATTTTTTAAGGATGTAAGCAACCAATTATAGTCATCTCTGCCATTTCCATCCCCTTATAGTCTGTCTTTGCAAGAAATTTGTTTTTATTCACTGAAATTCATTGATAGGAAAAAAGATTCAGATTTAGGATATGTTATTTTCGATTTAAAGAGAGATAACAATAGACTTTTAGCTTAGTATTTATGCCTGTTCTCTGACTATAATCATAAAAATGACTTATTTATGTCTATTTAAAATTACCATGAATTTTACATCTTAAAATTTCCTTTATTGTAGAGTATACAAAGTCAGAAAGTTTAGCAGAAATGGTCTGCTTTGATTTGGTTTGAAAAGAACAAAATCTTCCTTTGTTATCATAAAATTTTTGTGTTAATCTTTTTTTTTTTCTTTTCCTTTAGTACTACAGAGTGATCATTTCTTACACTTACTGCAAGCTGACAATGTCCAAATAGGATCTGCAGTCTTGATGATGCTACAGAATATACTGCAGATCAACAGGTGACATGGATTTATAAAATGTTACTGATTTTTTGATTTTTTTAATCAGAAGGATTACCAATTTTATTCTAATTTTACTAAAATTGATTGCATGTGATTTGTATATAATGCTTAAGCTCCATCACCATTGTTTTTCAGAAAAAAAATTAATATAAAATACTACAAAAGACTGGAAATTTATTATCAAATTGATACCTTATCCAAGAGCTTAAGAAGGTTTTAGCACATATCTCAGCCTTAAAAAAGAGAATTAATGCGATACGTGAAGAAAAATATTGAGATCACAACAAAAAATGTTTAATCACGTTTATTTAATAAGCTTCAAGCTTGGTATTTTTATAGATGATCAAGAAGGGTGTAAAAGAAGCAACTGACAGGGGGATCGGGGCGGGGGGGTGGTGAGGGGGGGAGGATAGCCGACTAGGAACAGCTCAGGATTACAGCTCCCAGTGAAAGTGCAGAGGCTGAGTGGACGCTGCATTTCCAGACGGATTTTTATTGCCCACAGACCAGGAGATTCCCAGGCGGAGGAGCCCCACAGGTCACCAGCGCGGCTGTTTCAGCCTGCACGGCTGTTTCGGCCTGCACAGCTGCTTTGCCCGCGCCCTGGCACGGCGGTTCTCCATACAAAAGACACTGGTCCGGATGCCCTCTTAGCTGGCAATAGGAGCCCTGAGACGGCAGAGTTGCCCATTCATCTGAAATACTGAGCCAGGCCAGGAGATTCCTAGGCAAAAAAAATGCCAGGAATCTCAATGCCGGTGTTTCAACCGGCTCAGTGAGTCGCGGCACGGGAGATCCCAGCGCCTTTTCAACAGGGAGAGAGTCGACCCTCCAACAACAACAACAACAAAAAACTCTGAGTCAGGGAGCCAGGTGATCAGGCTCGGCTGGTCCCACCCCACCCCCACAA